TGTATTTAATATCAACAGTTTTACTAGACCCGAGTCCAATCTGTGTCAAGAGGTTTCCAAACAAGGCAGACAGTTCCCACAAAGGCACCAATGCACAGCTTCTGAAGCAAGCAAGATGGACTTCTAGGGAGCGATCTCTGGCTTTGATAGCTGTTTGGACAGCTACATAGAACAGGTTCCACCTCCTGCTATATATGAATTTTCTAGTTCCACTGAAACATTACTGGGTTAACAAGTTATTTGCTAGACTGTTTACTGATTCACAGGGTGTGAATCATGGACAGAAACGTTTCTTATGAACATTAATAGTATAAATGATTTAACTGGAGTATGCACTACGATAATCCCCAGATATTCTGGACTTCAGTGCCTTTCAGTCCAATAGTGCAAAATCTTGGAATGGAACTATGCTACCTACCTTTCCAAGCCACATACATATATTTGGGAGATTACTGAACTATAGTGATCTCTAAGCCTCCAGGACTAGTTTGCACAACACACTACAACAGGATTAGGCAAAAGTGGGATTGGATCATTTGTAGTTTAACGTGTTGTGTGACTGTCCTCAATTCAAACTTGGCAGAAGCTACCTAAACACTTGCCTAGCTAGATAAAGATCTTTACTGCATATTAGAAAAAGGTCATTTCAAGCAGTTGATTGCCCTATGTCAACATGAGAATGCAGTCCCCTCTTAAACCTACTGCAGTTTCAATTTGGCATTTCTTTTTTCCACTTTCCCACAGCTTAATGGATACCTTGCTTTATGCTAGAGATACTCAGGTGTTGACATAATCAACATTTGCACACTGGGAATAGTAATAAATTCCCATTGGGCTGGGAATAGTAATAAATTTGGGGAAGGTGATGAGTTGGTAATGGGAAAGAAAATAGGCAAGGGAGAACTGATGACGCTATCCCTTTACATCAACCCACCTTTCTCAGACATGAATAAATATTGTTCCACTTATCTTGCCCAAAGCCCAATTGAGAAACATTTGTTTTAAACAACTTTAGATATAGTACATTCAAGTATAAAAATATTGACTTTTAGTGTTTACTCAAAAAAGATGGAGGAAAAGATGAAGATGATCCTATACACAGAATGGAAATATTATTTCTTGATTAACTGGGTTTATTTTTAAACATTAGGAAATGTACAAATCATAAATGATTCATTAATGCCTTTTAGGCTCATATTCAATAGCAAATCTAGCACTTATGTCTAAGATGCTGACATTTAGATTCTTTGTTCCATAAATTTCTGTCATACACATAACTGAGCATAGAGTTTCAAGAATGAAAAAAGTCCGTTGTCTTGTACAGCTGCTCTATGAATATTATTTTACTTAATTTTTAGGAAAACAGCAGGGTTGAATGTTTGGCCTCATGAACAGCTGACTTCAAACCAGGAACCAGAACACTGTTATAGTGTAGTAAAGTTTTACATTACAGATCAATCATGGAAATAATTCATCTTTGATGTATTCAAGATATCACCATCTGATTACTAAACCCTCACAAACCCAATCTGAGTTTCTAATAGATTAGAAATTCTGTATCAGTGAGGGAAGACCTGTGGCCTTCCAGATATTGCTGACCTACAGCTCCTAGCATTCTTTGCAATTGTCATGCTGGCTGTGGCTCCTGTGAGTTGAAATTTAACAACATCTATAGAATTATGGATTCCCTGTCCCATATATATATATATAGAACTTCTTGCATCAAGTTTCATTGACATTAGTGGAGCTTATTTCTGAGTAGATATTTCTAGAACTGAATGTATAAACCATAAGAGTGCTATTTTTGAACTGGTTCCTTATATTTGTGATATGGCCCTTTTATCACTACTCTAAAACATATATGGGTTAAGTTAAAGACTACACTATAAATGAGAAGTAACTTCTCTAGAGAAGGCTCCAATGCTGGGAAAGGTGGAAGGAAAGAGAAAAAGAGGATGACCTGAAGACCTGAAAGACCAGTTTAGGGACACATCATCATGGAGAAAATCTATCTATGTGGTCATTAAGAGTTGACACCAACTTGATGGCACATCATCATAATCAACCATAGCAGAATGTAAGAATTTGTTCCGAGATATTGTTTTCTCCCTGCAAGATGAAGTGAGGCCAAAGGGCTATTCATGGTGACAGTGGATGTTCTGAAGGTTTGTAACATCTGAACTACCTCACACTTGACATTCACTAGAGCTGCAGGATGGACAGGTATACTGAATATATCTGTTTTGCACAATCCCAAGGAAGACTGTGTCTGTGTGTGTGTGTGTGTGTGTGTACACAGCATCATATGACAAACTGCAGAGAAGTTGTGAGACCTCAGGCCAGGTGGCACAACTCACAGAATTCAACATAGTTTGTTTCACCTGTTTGACTACTTTTCTCACACTTCTGCTAATGTGATGCACCAACCACAAAGAAGGCACCTGTATCAACATGCCTGATTTTTCAACTGATAAAGAGATCTGTGAAAACAGCAGAGAAGATTCTTGTGCACTGGCAGCTAATTCTTTTTAGTAGCAGAGAAAACATTTAGAAATAGAACTAGAGAGCTATTTAAGTTGCATGTGACCATCAGTTCCAATTATGACCCTTCACTGTGATCTTTGATCTCCTAATAATGGAAAAGGAAAACTGCCAACACTCAGATTGCACTGCAAACCTGTTTTCTCCAGTTTTCTCTCACTCAACAAACTGAGGCCTTCTGTCTCAGCCACTATCAGCATGCTACCAACTATGAGGGAAAGAGAGAAACTAAATTGGCCCTTTATCCCTTCACCCACCAAGTCATGTAGCTAGTACAATGCAAAACAAAAACAAAAAACCAAGCCCTGATTTTTTCCCAACTAATTCTCATTCAATTTGATGAAAGAGAATTTGCTTTTGAAATTATTTCAGAAGAGAAGAAAATTCAAAAATATATGGTGTTCTTGCACTTATCTGATGGCCAAGGAATATTTGCACTTAACTGATGGCCAAGGAGTTTGTGAAAGTCCTGTCTTTCACTGTACAATCATCTCTTCAGATGCCTGCAGCCTTTCTGGTTTCTACAGCTTTCATTAAATCTCAAGAGAAAATATTATAAAGGAGCTCCTTCAGTGTACCCCCTTCCCTACCCCCAGACTGGGAATTAAAGGCAGTTAGAAAGGCTTCAGGGGGACATATACCAACACCTGCAGTTAGCAACCCATCGCCCCTCCAAGCATAACTCTCAAAACCTCACAAAGAGAAATGTGAAAGAGATTCTCAAGCACTCTGAGAATAAGGTAGAAAAACAGAAACCTCTTTCACAGAAGAACACTTTTGAGAATTGCTAGGTCTATTTCAGCACAGCAGTAGTTATATCGATGAGTGTCTTCAAAGCTCTGAGGTATCACCGATAAAAAGTTGGATGGGGGCAGAAGCTCTAGCAATCTTGGCGAAGGCAGAACTCCCTTAAGTCTCCCCAATTCCACCTGCCACCTCTGGCAACAGTTCATAGTCAGCATATCTCCCAAATTTTCTGGCAGCAGGGGAAAAGCAAATTTGATTCCATTGTCCTGGGCTTCAAAACAGGCAAAAACAGCACAAGATATTTCTGCTTCCCATAAAGCTCAGCACAACATGAGGGAAGGAAAGAGGGCAGGTGTTTTATGATGTCAAGTTTCATTTCAGAACAAACCATACCCTTCCAGGGAGTTTTTCCTACAACAAAGATCCCTGCAATATAAGGTATTTGTTCTGTACTATATTTCTCTGTGCTTGGAAAAGGGGCCAGTGGTGACCACAAATTATGCCTTGCTAAGTGCAACAAATTGTAATTTGTGGAACTTGTCTTTCCTGCCACAATAGCAATCCAAATGACAAATCTGGACCAAATTCTTGAACAGTTCCAGAATTACACAGCCACTGGCAAGACCCAAATCTCTCTCTTGGCCTATTATATTGTGCCTCATTATGGAGGTAATCTTGTTCCCAGAAAAAGCAAGAAGAGACATTAGCTACCTACAGCAACAGCCTCAAAACGCTCAGCTCCACACATGAATCGGGCCTACTTCATCCCCAGGCCCTCTCTCTAATCTGCAAAGCATGAAAACACAGCATCAAGATACAGTACCGATATAGAGCATGGCCCAATGTTATTCCATGACAGGAACCAGCAGCAACCACATGAAATGTGGCAAATATCCACAGTATACCTGTGGCAGATGTCATCCTTCTGCTTTGACAGGTGAGACCCAGCTTGCTGCCCTTTACAGGTGGTGGATTACAATCCATAGCATCCCCAGCCAAAATGGTGGCACTTGCTGGGAATAATGGGAAGTACAGTCTAACGGAAAACTTTACCTTAGGGAAAACGGTTTGAGGCCTTATTTTTTCCGGGCTGCACAAACAATACCTTGATGGAAAGGAACAGGGGAGGACTTTCCTAGAGACAGACACCACCTCATCCCAAGTCCACTCCAACTGGTCCTGCTTCTTCTGTGCAACTCGGAAGCACTTCATGCAGCCACAGACCCAACTGCCCGGCCCGAGTTGCCCACTGTCTATCCTATCCCCTTGCTTGCTACCCAATCACGGTGGTTCATCCGAGGGCGCTTGTCAGGGAAGCTCGAACCGTGCTTTGCAAACTTCTGCTCGCAGGAGGACCGGGAGGAACTCCCCGCTCGAAGGCCGCTGAGGGCAGAGTCGCAAGGTCCCTTCTCGTTCCTCGCCCTGGATTATCGCCGCCACCAGCACACCCGGGACAAGCGAAAGCGAGATGAGCGCAGCTCGAGAGCAAAGGGTAGCAAGGCAAGGGGCGAGGGCTCCCCAGGCGCTGCGGGACCCCTGTCTCTCCCGCGGGTCGCGTAAAATGGAGGGAAGGCAGGCAGGCGGGCGGGCGAGAGAGGCTGCTCCCTCCTACGGTGGAGGGAATCTGCCCTTACCCCTAGCGCCCCACGGGGAAAGCTGAGGGCTGCCAGGCTCTCTGGGAGCAGCAGGCAGCGGGCTCCCCATTCCTATACCTTGCTGAATACTTCCAGGTCCTCATCGTCGTCGAACTCC